AGAGAGAGAGAGAGAGAGAGAGAGAGAGAGAGAGAGAGAGAGAGAGAGAGAGAGGGAGGGAGGGGGGGAGGGGGGGAGGAGGGAAGGAAGAAATGTAGACTCTTTAATGCCCCTACAGAATTAGGAAACCTAAGTTGCATTTTAATAAGATTCCCAGATGACTGATAAGCAAATTGAAGTTTGAAAATTAGAGTTTTAGAGGCTTTTTTCTCTGACCACACCACTCCTTATCAAACAAAAGTAAGAAATTTTGAAGGGGTGTTCCCACGCAAAATTTGCCAACCACTGAGAACAGTCCCTGGGTTTCTGGCCCTTAAATACCCACCCCAGAGGCCCTGAGCCTTCTTTCATGATCAATATCCAATGGCTTATATCTATATACAACAAGATCTGTATAAAACAGCCAGTCTTCAGGCCTCTAGATGGGAAGGGAGCAGGGACGCTGTTTTGAGGGTAGAATCGGGTGGATCTGAGGAAGATATTTGGAGGGGAAGCTGAAAGATCCACATACATCACCCACATCGGCCCCAGGGTTCCCTCAGTGCAGTGTGTGGGGAAGAGGAAGAAATGACTAAGTGCCAGTCTTGTGCACCACCAAATTCCAGCCGCGAACTGGACTGAGCCCCCACCCCCACCGCCAACTAAATTCACACCTGGCCTTCTAAGTTGTTATGACAGTTTGTTTGGGAAGATAGAAGCAAGTAACCCTTTTTTCTTTAAACATTTGTTAGTTTGATATATAACTTTTAAACATTCAGGCATATGGTATGTGGGCCTCTGTACTCTTGGCTTAGTCCTGCAGATGTTTGGGGTGAGCCTGCTGATGAGGAACTGCAAAGACATCTAAGGCTTCTCAGCACAGCATGCTCCCCTTGGCTTGAGGAGCCTGGCCGACTGCCTAGCTCCCCTCGCCACCAAACCACATTCCTTTCTTGCTTGGAGATTTTTTCTAAACCTCCTGGCTATTTAGTGGATTTCTTTTAGGATTTCGTCTATCTCTTATTCAAGGTTTCCTCTGGCTTCTCTCAATCTCACCGAATCAGTCTCTTTGGGCCCGAGTCGGCAGTAGAAGCAGCATTCTATTCTGAGCACCTATCTACCCAATGTAGAGCCCAGTTTCTCTAACTTACCAGCTGGGAACCCGAGCCTTTTGCCTGCGATTCTGAATTGTCAGAGGCAAGCGAAGCCCAGGGATTTACATTTTAAGCTCCCCTCCCCGCCCACCGTGATTCTGATGCTGGTGGCTGCTGGACCACACTTAGAGAACTGAAAAGAGAGTAGCTTCCCAGTCCCGATGTGGCCTAGTTCCGTTTATAGCTCCCTCTTGACTACCAATTAGCTGTTTAGAAACTGATGACTCACAAGTGGCTTGGAGCTCACAAAATCCCCTGCATTTATTAGGCATTAGCCTTTTGCTGAGGAATGCAATGGGTACAGGGAACCCACTAAAGTGTAAGACACCGCTCTAGTCATGAGGAACTTGCATTCCATCCCCATTTAACTTACTGTCTTTAATAAAACTCTGAATTCCATTTTGGTTTGTGAGCAAAGAGCTGTATGTATTGGAGAAAGACAGAATACAAATACATGAAAATTCAACTAGTAAAGGATAAGATATTGCAAGGACCTATAAATCTGGATCTAAAGTCATCAATCTGAAGACTAGTTAAAAAGTTTTTAAGCTGATGAAACTCACTTTGGAGAAAATGTCTATTTACGTTGTGTTACCTGAATAAAGGAAGAAAGCACCCTTGTCTTACGGATAGGCATGCACAGATCCTCCATCTCCTCTCCACTTGCACCCCAGGAAAGACCAAAGTGGACCTCAGTTACATCTGTGGGCTAAAAGAGACAGATCTCAGAAACAGTCCATTACACTTTGAGGACTTGTGAAATGAAACAAACTTGGATTGCCACACAGAAGGATTCTTCTTTTGAACTTCTTGGGAAAGTTGCCAATCAAATTTCCTGGGATTTTTTTTTTTAAGTGTGAAGCTACTGAAAGCAGTCCCACGCCTGATTTCTCTCTGCTCCTTTCTCCATAAGGACTCAAATTTGTGTCAGAGCTCTCTAGGTGGGACAGCTCCATTCTCAGCCACCTAGCCTGGCCTGTGAGTTCCCTGCCCAGCCAAGCGAGTCAGTGACTGACTCAAGGACCTGTGGGGCTGGTCTGCACATGGTACCACAAGCAGCATTTTCTAGTCCACACCTGCCGAGCAGGCAGCCAACAGGGTGATTTAGGAAGTAGAGAAAAGGGGAGAAGGCAGCAGGGCGAACCAATTATCCCACCTCTTCTCTTTCCTGCCAATGATGACTTGAAGTTTTTGCCAGGACAACTACTAGTCAGTGTATCAGTCACTCACAGGAATGCAAGTGCCTGATTTGGGGAACTTTTCTGCATGGTAGAGGTGAGGGGAAACAAAAGTGGTGCTAGGTGGAAACGCTGCCTTTCCAGTAAGTAATCCGACTATGGGCATGTGGGTGACAAAAGAGAGAGCGCTGACATGGCAGAAGGCCCAATCGAAAATGAGAAAATGAACACAAATCAAATTTATCCTCAATCCACTCAGTTTTTTCTCTTGTTTTTCCAGGCTATTATCTACAAAATACATGGGGGCAGGGGACCCTAACATTTGCTTCATAGAACTCTTCTCCATGCTGCTTGTTGTTGACGGCTATCCAGATCCTGCTCAAATGCTTCCATTGATGGACCTTGGGCTACAGAAAAGTCCTTGGGCTACTGGGATACAAATATGCCAGATAGCACTAGTATGCGTCAGGCATGAAATGCTTAACTCAGTCACAATGGATCTTATGAGGAACCTAAGCTTGGCTGAAAACAGACTTGGGGTAGCAATTTAATGACTTTCAATAGCTGTTAATTCTCAGGAGTCCTGATGTCAGGACCTTTGCATCTGTCTAAAAAACACCCGCTTGTATGTTGGAATTCTGTGACAATCACCTTTTTTAGTTGAAAATAGATTTTTTTCATATAATGTATTCTGATCATGGATCCCCTCTCCCAACTCCTCCCCACCTACCCAAATCCACATGGCATCTTTCACCAGAGAACAAACAGGCATCTAAAATAAAATAAAATAAAACTGGAATAGGACAAAGCAGACAGAAAAAAAAAGGGAGACCCAAAGAAAATCCACAAGAACATACAGATGAAGAGACACACATTCTCACAAAGAAATTCCCCAAAAACACAAAATCTGAAACAATAATATATAGGCAAAAGACCTGTAAGGTTTTTTTTTAAATGCCCAGATAAAACATGAGACAAAAAAAAAAAAATACCTCCAAAAATATCACCGAGTTCCTTTTATGTGGACGCATCCACTGTGGCAGGTTTTTTGTTTTTGTTTTTGTTTTTTTTTAATTTTTATTAGTTCAAATTAGGAACAAGCTTGCTTTACATGTCAATGAGAGCATCCCTTCACGTGGGATGGGCTCTCAAAGTCCCTTCTTACACCCGGGAAAAATACTGATCCACTACCAAGAGCCCCCTAGAGTGCCAAGGCCTCCTCATTGACATCCACGTTCAGGGGTCTGGATCAGTCCTGTGCTGATCTCCCAGACAGCAGTCTGGGGTCCATGTGCTCCTCCTTATTCAGGCCAACTGTTTCTGTGGGATTCACCAGCCTGGTACTGACCCCTTTGATCTTCATTCCTCCCTCTCTGCAACTGGGTTCCAGAGTTCAGTTCGGTGTATATCTGTGGGGGTCTGCCTCTGCTTCCATCAGCCACTGGATGAAGGCTCTAGGATGGCATAAAGAAGTAGTCATCAGTCTCATTATAGGGGAAGGGCATTTAGGGTACCTCTTCACCATTGTGGCAGGTTTTTTAAGGGGTTCTTATCACCCATAGTTGGAAAGATTTTAAGTAACTCTGAGTGAGAAGGTGTGTTTTTTATTAGAAACAATCTTATTTTACATATCAATCCCAGTTCCCTCTCCCACCCATTGCCTCCGACCAACCTACCATCCCACCCCCCATCCACTCCCCAGGGAGGCTGAGGCCTTCCAGGAGAAATCATCAAAATCTGTCAAGTCATTTGGGACAGGGCCTAGGCTCTCCCCCATGTATCTAGGCTGAGAGAGTAACCCTCCATAGAGAATGGACTCCCAAAGTCAGAGGTCAAGACCATGCTGGGGAAACTCACAGAAACAGCTGACCTGAGCAAGTGGGAGCTCATGATCCCCAGACTGATAGCTGGGAAACCAGCACAGGACTGATCCAGACCCCCTGAACTTGGGTGTCAATTAGGAAGCCTGGGTAGTCTATGGGGCCTCTGGCATTGGAACAGTATTTTATCTCTAGGGCATGAGAAGGTGTGTTTCAAAGTGAACTGAAGGCAGACAGAAGCTGGAGTCTACAATGGACATGCGAAGTAAATCTGAATTTTCCCAGGGACATTTGGACATTTAGACACTAGAGTCCTCATGTGCTGGGTCGTGTGATTATATTTTCCTCAGGCATTTGTTTTGCTTCATTCTCCAGCAGGCTGTCTCAGCTGTTTCTACTGTTGTTCTGAGTACATTTCTGATCCAAGAACGAATCAGCTAGAATTCTTTTTTTTTTAAATTTTGTTTGAATTACAAACAAGATTGTTTTACATGTCAATTCCAGTTCCCTCCCCCTTCCCTCCTCCCCTGCCCTCCCCAACTAACACCCTACCTATCCCATTCCCTTTCTGCTCCCCAGCGAGGGTGAGGCCTTACATAGGGAGTCTTCTGAGTCTAGAATTCTTACTAAGTGTTCAAAAATCTGACTCTCATGTTCGTAGGAGGAAATGAAATAGAGTGACACATTGCATAACTGGTAAAAAAAGAAAGGATTCTGGCTTCAGGTCAAGCTTGATTCAGGGGTTCCAGTGCTGTCCCAAGGACCGATATTCTTCTGTCTGGAGCCTCAGCTTCCATTTCCTTTATCAAATGGCTTATTCTTTACTTTGTGTTTTCAAGACAGGGTTTTCTCTGTGTAGCCCTGGCTGTCCTCAAACTCAATTTGTAGACCAGGCTGGGCTCGATCTTAGAGACCCACCTGTCTCTAATCCGGAATGCTGGGATTAAAGGCCTGTGCCACCAGCACCCAACCAAATGGCTTTATTCTTAAACAGGGTAAGAAAACATTGGCAGTAGTTTTGTTTTCTTTTTTCTCTCAAATTTCACCAATTCATCCAGAGCAATGTTTGACAGGAGTTACCATAAATTGACTTCCTTTATTTATATCATGTGTAAAAATAGAAACTACTCAGACCATTTGGGAATTAAGCATAGGGCTGAATTTCTGCCCAGACAAAAACTTGTGCTATTGCTGGAAGAGAAGGTAACAGGCACTTTCAAGAAAACAGAATGTGCCTCAGAGGTCTAGCCATCGATTCATGGATGTGCCCAGCTCCTCATAGGGTCTCACACATACACACAAGTAGGAAACAACCAGTATAGGCAGCTTGCCCATCAAACACAAAAGGGGTAAACCAGATTTCTTTTAATCGAATACCAAAAACAGTTTTGAAATCAGAGACACAATTAGGAGGCTGATGGAGGAAGTTCCACTCTGGAGAGCAAGGAGAGGGAGAGAGAGCTAAGGCAAATCAAAAGACATGGTGTTAAAGTGGCTTGGCTACAGTGTGCTTAAAAACCATGTGATTGCAATGCATTGCAGTCATGTTTATGGTGCCTGATTTTAGATGCTATCTTGATATTATATGTATTCATCCATTTAATCCTCACAACAACCCTATGATTCAAAACAATTATTATCTTCTTCAGCATCTCTACCTTACAGATGAGGAAGTCAAAACTCATTGAACTTAACCAAGCTGCCCAACACCACAGAGGTGCAAATGACAGAGCTAACATTCAACCCGTAGTGGCTCTTAACCTTCATATTATAGAATTCCCAATGTATGAAATGAATCACAGAGAAAACAATAAGTTGATGACCCTAGGAATAAGAAATGGCTAAAGGAGTGGCTATGCCATTTGCCATGGCTGGAAGCCTTAAGGACCTTGAAGTACAGAGCAACAAGAGAAAGGACCTCACTCTGTGGCAGAGGTAGAAAGGGGATAATTGTGTCCCATACTGACTAATAAAGTCCAGGAGGCAGTGGACTAGGTGGAGTAGAAAGTAGCTGAGGGCATGTGTTAGCATAGGCTCTGGAGTCTTTGCAAGTCAATTAGTAACCACTAACTTACATGATGGCTGTAGATAAGAAACTAATCTCTGTATGCCTCAGTT